TTTTGGTGGTTAGCCACGGTACTAAAAAAGAATGAAATTACTGAGATATATATTCCTTTTTACATCCCCATGGACCACCACCATCCTTCTTTTACCCCACAAATGCGGAAAAGATATGATTACCCATTAATCAAATAATAACAGTAGTATATCCTATTACAGTGACAGGACGTACCTACAAATTATCGTCTCAAGAAATTCTATTAATAAGCACAAAATGGGATAAGATTAAAATAAGAGGTATTTATTTTTATATTGTTTGTAAAAATTTTAAAATGTTTATTTTACAATATAGCGTCCTAATTAAATCATATCTGTATGGGCTGCCTGTACTTATCGCCCCAGGATATCATTCTTGGTTATACTCAATTGATTTTTTAATTTTAATCACAATACTATTCATATTTTAATTAAAAATTATATATTATAAAAAATTAATATTACGCCATCTATATTGCATTTTTTTATTTATAAAAATAACAAAAATTTAAATAAAATTAAAAAAACAAAAATGGTTATCGAGATTTTTTATTAAATCGTTTAATATAAAGGTAATAAACATTTTTTAATGAATATTAACACTCAAAAAAAATCCCTTCCTAATGTTAATTTTTTAGATTTACAGGAAATAAGAAAACACTTGAATTTTTTTTTAATATTTTCCAAAGTAAAATTTTAAGGGCTATAAAATGATATCTTATTTGTAACTCTATCTTAAGTATTTTTTAAAATAACAAGATTTAATGAAATCACGCACTTCGCGATTTTCGACTTTGAAGGCGTATATCTTTGGATCTGGTTGAGCTATTAGCACTCTAAAATTTTGATTTTATTAACATTTACAACATAAATAACTAACATGCCAAGTTGCATTCATTTTTGAGATGGTCGGCCGAATCGCTGGTCGATTTGCCATGGAATTACTCTTTAGTGAAGTTAGTGATATAGTCCCCATCACCCCAGACTGACCTCTGATAAATTGGAAATTTATGTATTTCTAAAAAGAAATCTTCGATATAATTTTAAATATTAATTTAAATTTCATAAAATATTTGTTTTACTTATTATGTAACTAGATTAATGTTATTATTTATTTTATAAATAAGAGATTTTCCAATGAAAATATTTTATATACTTTTAGAATTGCAATTGAATTGAATATAAACTATCGGGGCCCCCCAACACCAAAAGGTGCTGGAGGACCCCGTGGTCTCGCCGGACCAATCTTTTTATTGTTTTATATATGTTCCTTATAACTATTATGTAATATATATCTATAATGTTATCGATTTTACAATTGTGATTATCGCGCATTAATATAAAAATGGCGAAATTGGTGTATAAGATGTATTATGACCCTGGAAAATTTCTGGGATAGGAACGGCGTAATGATCGTAGAATAATAAATTAGCAAGATAATAATTTATATTCCCGATCGCCGTATATATATATGCGTGGGACTTTATTTCTGGCCGTATATCCCAGAGTTTTCCAGGGTTAAGAGAAGGAAATATATATTTAATGGGGGGGGGGGAGATTATGATGTAATATGTTGATTAAAATATCTACATTTATTAGAAAAAAAGGAATTTAAAATAAAGGTATTTCATATCGCGGGGGTATTTATGTATCATTGGTAAGATAAAACAATTCGCGATTTATTGAAAAATACATATATGCAATATAAGCTTATTGGGAGGGGTGGTGTTCCTCGGGGAAAGAAGATTCTTCCTCGTAGGCGGTGTTGATTGATAAATCCAGAGTTCTTTCGAACATACCCGGGTCGAAGTCTCGCTCCATGTTTGCTAAGTTGTTTACAAATTCGCTGGCGTCGGCTTCGTCAGTAGTATAGAACGGGGTTGAAGCATAGGGGATACGTCCGATAGTTTCTTCCATACTCGGTAGGCCTGCCGTGTCTAACCCGTGTAAGATAGCATGTGCCTCGACGCTGGGGATCCATGTTCGGCTAGGCGAGTCCGCTAGATTGTTTTCCGAGGGTATCCAAGTGAGATTTCTTGATAAGTGTACAAAGTTATAGAATCCGAGGGATAGGATGATCCTTGTGACCAAATGTTCGCATGCGGGGGATCAAAGACCATGGATGTAGAAGACGAGGATGACGAGCCATCGAACGACGATGATAACGGCAACGATTACTTACCAGATGTCCAACAATTCGATGTTGGAGGTGACCCCATTCTCATGGCCAACCTCTTCGCGAATAGGGTATCGCCCCGCGACCACGCTATCATGCCCCCGCCAGCGGTCGGTAGCGGCTCGATCGGTAATTTCCACAACCTATTAAGATAAATGGGATACGATACCACAGACAATCTGGATGTAAACTTGTCAGCACGCCTCAACCTTGCATCATCCATCCTCAAACCCCACCCCAGCCAGTCACCGTTCACCAAGAGAATTGCCCTCAAGGGAATTTGCCCAAAACTAGATAACCAAGCCATCGAGGATAATAGAGGATACTTCAAAAATCGTTTTATTAGATTAGCGAACAAATACCTCCCCATCGTGGCCCAACTAGTCGAAGCATCGGTGATCGAGATGACCGACGATACCTTTTGCTCGCCCCTCTTCCTCATACCGAAGAGTGATGGGACGCCGAGAATCATATCGGACTTTTCTAACGTGTCGCGCAACTTCATCAAGTACCCATTCAAGCTGAAGACCATACCCATGATCGCTCCGATGCTAGCGTCAGCAACAGTGGCGACAAAAATTGACCTCAAATCGGCTTTTTATTCGATCCCACTGGCCCAGAGCAGGAGGAGGTTCTTCGGCTTCGCGACCGTCAATTCGAAATTCCGGTACAAGACCCTCCCAATGGGAGCGGGATTCTCGCCATACGCGCTGCAAAATATCGTATTAGACCTATGTGCCAAATCGGTAAAAAAGGCTAATTTCTCGGTATATCTCGACGATATCATCATCTTCCACGCGGACGAACAATATGTCTTTAATGACACCATTGCCCTCCTCGATATGATATCGGCATGGGGACTCAGAATCAATGATTCCAAGTCAGTCCTTTCGCCCACCAACAAAATCTCCTACCTAGGCATATACATAAACTTCACAAATAAGACGGCAAGTGTGGATAAAGATAATCAATCCCGACTGAAATTTTGCCAATTGATATAATACAAACATTCGTTACAATCAATGGCAATAGAACGCAACGTCGCCTTAGAAGTTTTAGGAATTCTCAACCACTACACATACTCGATCACTGGGCTATCAAGAGTATTGGCACCTTACTACGACACAATGCTCAACCCGGAGGACCCGCCGCCCATCGATTACCTCAAGGCATATCCGAAGGCAGTAGCAGCAATAAATGCACTAATGAAGCCCTTTCCGTTCACCTTCATTATCAACACAATATTGCATGTCGACGCGTCCTCAACCCATATAGGGGTGTCCGACACCTTCACCACAGGATATTCTTTCACGTTCGACGAGGCAAAACACGCCCTAGGAGTCCCAGAGATGATAACACCTCACATCAACCAAAAAGAGCTCCTAGCGATATGGGTGGGGTGCAAATACTCACTCAATAAGTTTAAAATAGTGACGGATAGCCAAGTAGCGTACACTATCATAAAAAAAGGAGGATTCAGATCCCCCGCATGCGAACATTTGGTCACAAGGATCATCCTATCCCTCGGATTCTATAACTTTGTACACTTATCAAGAAATCTCACTTGGATACCCTCGGAAAACAATCTAGCGGACTCGCCTAGCCGAACATGGATCCCCAGCGTCGAGGCACATGCTATCTTACACGGGTTAGACACGGCAGGCCTACCGAGTATGGAAGAAACTATCGGACGTATCCCCTATGCTTCAACCCCGTTCTATACTACTGACGAAGCCGACGCCAGCGAATTTGTAAACAACTTAGCAAACATGGAGCGAGACTTCGACCCGGGTATGTTCGAAAGAACTCTGGATTTATCAATCAACACCGCCTACGAGGAAGAATCTTCTTTCCCCGAGGAACACCACCCCTCCCAATAAGCTTATATTGCATATATGTATTTTTCAATAAATCGCGAATTGTTTTATCTTACCAATGATACATAAATACCCCCGCGATATGAAATACCTTTATTTTAAATTCCTTTTTTTCTAATAAATGTAGATATTTTAATCAACATATTGCATCATAACCTCCCCCCCCCATTAAATATATATTTCCTTCTCTTAACCCTGGAAAACTCTGGGATATACGGCCAGAAATAAAGTCCCACGCATATATATATACGGCGATCGGGAATATAAATTATTATCTTGCTAATTTATTATTCTACGATCATTATGCCGTTCCTATCCCAGAAATTTTCCAGGGTCATAATACATCTTATACACCAATTTCGCCATTATATATCCGCCATTTTTATATTAATGCGCGATAATCACAATTGTAAAATCGATAACATTATAGATATATATTACATAATAGTTATAAGGAACATATATAAAACAATAAAAAGATTGGTCCGGCGAGACCACGGGGTCCTCCAGCACCTTTTGGTGTTAGGGGGCCCCGCATTCACGCATATATATATACGGCGATCGGGAATATAAATTATTATCTTGCTAATTTATTATTCTACGATCATTACGCCGTTCCTATCCCAGAAATTTTTGAGGAAACCACGAACGTAAGCCTAAAGATTGAAAATCATAATAAAGGACGCCTCAGAAATAACTCTGCACCGTCAGATAATACTAGAGCCGGGACCTGGAGGTCTCTGATATATATACAATCATAAAACAATGAGTCAGAATTAAATGGTGAATATTGATTCTGATCCAATCTAATATTTAATATCCCTAGTTTTAATATAACAATAAAATATGTATATTAAATCATAAAACAATGAGTCAGAATTAAATGGTGAATATTGATTCTGATCCAATCTAATATTTAACATCCCTAGTTTTAATATAACAATAAAATATGTATATTATATCTATACTTTAACAATCTCAATTTGACCATTTGATATGGCGATTCCTAACGGAGTGTCTATTAATTCAAAATTACGATTATCTCTAGTTGAATTAGGATTTGCCCCATGTTTCAATAAGATCTAATTAAATTATAATTTGGAAAAAATTAATCAAAGCAATATCAAATCATTGGCATTAGGATATGTAAGAAATGTTAAACAACTTGATTTAGCCAATTTAAAAAAATGGAAAGATCAAGATTTTAGCAAAAATAATATTACCCAAGCCCCAACTAGAGATCTGGGAAAATTCAAAAATAAATAAATGGGCTGAGGTAAAAATTTAACAGGTTACTAAATATTTTATCCATCAAAAAAATCAGAATACCATCCTGCTGGCATTAAAATTTTGATCATTCATTGATACTATTTTAAAATAAATTAAAATATACTAATTTCTTTGTATTTTAAGAGCTGTCTATCTAAATACTAAATCTATAAATAATATACCAATTAATAATGTTTTTAAAAGAATTGAAAAACATTATCTCAAGCTTTCAAACTTTGAATAGGATTTTGTAGAGGAAATATTAATCTTTCATAAGTTTAAAGAAACAGTTGAATATCTATTTTCAAAAAAGAGCTTACATTAAACTTACTTTTTACATTTAATAGTAAGCGATAATGAAAGTTCAGAAAATTTTTTACTTAGGGATAATATGTTTAAAAAAAACTTTATGTTATGATTTCCTCTTTGAGATCTGCAAGTAATATTTTATATGTATTTAATTTTACTTTTTATTTTAAAATTATAGATCCGAATTCATTACTAAATAATTTAAACTTATAGAGTATGATGATATTAAATTATAAAATATAGATTATTATTTGACAAAGTTAGCAAATAAATATTCTATAACAAGCACAAATTATGATTAGATTTTATTTTAATTGATTTAAAACAAGAATGCCATAGACGCCATTCACAGGATATGGATGTTCTAAATTTTCGGAGGAAAGAGGATTGAATTCCCGAATTTTTCCAAGCTAGCCAAATTAATTCTTTCTTTACTGCTGGGTTGGCATTGGATTCAAAGAGGTCATCCTAATGTCCAACAAATTTAAAAAGGCTAATTTACATTGCACATGTCGACAGCAGCTAAAAAATGGGGTTGTCCAAATAGTTCATATTGTTTCTTATGAATAGGTATTTTTTGTTGTATTGAAAAGATTTCCAAAAAGCCACTAAATTCCCCATAACCATATTTCTTTGTGTTAAGGTAGGCAGGGTATAGAGAAAAAAAATAAGATAGTTATAAAAATATATATTAAAAAATTTTAACAGTCGGATTTAATAAATTTTATGTATGAAATTCAATTTAACAATTTATTTAATCGTTAATATAAAATAACAATCATTTAAACAGCCAAAGTAATAAGAAACTATTAGTAAATACAATGTAGGTAAAAGAAATAATAAAATCAGTCCATGAGGTAAATGTTAAGTTAATAAAATAAAAATCAGTCAGAATATATTAACACTTTGTGAAATAAGAATATAATTTATTCTAAATTCCTTAAATTTAGCCTTCATAAGTAATATTAGGTATATTTCAATATTACTAATGAATTAAATCATGTTACATTTCTTTGTGTGTAATAAGAATATTAATATCATTTGAATTGAAAAATAGTCACTCAGAAATTTCTGAATTTATTTCTATGAAATAAATCACAAGAATATAATTTATATTAAAATTAAGAAAAATAATATATTTAACTCAAAATGATAAGGTATATTTTAATATAAACTATGAATTAAGTCCTGTTTATTTCTTTATATATATATATATATCATCATAAATATATTATTTATTATTTTTTAAAATTGTCCTAAAATGAGCTTTTGGGCAATTTTATAAATATATTTATTGCCTGTTGTATCTACAAGAATAATGAAGGAAATCCAAAACCACAAACAAATTTTGACATAATAATAAATTTTATTTTCTTTAAAAATTTAAAAAAAACAAAGAAAAAAATAATTACAATCATCTCCCCTTCAAGGGGAGTTCAAAATTATAAAAAAAATAATTTAAATAATAATATTAAAAATAGATATCTTAAAAATGAAATTTAGGAGAATCACAAATGATTCTGCTTAAAAACAAAAAATTAATACATTAAAAATAGGCTTTACAAATAATATTTACTAAGATTTGACTAAACAAAAATACAATATATATCAGAGGTCTGCAAAGGTACCATTTGAATGTCCCAATCCAGATTTTTTTTGGCTAAGCCCAGGTTATTTTAAGGTCCTGTCAAGATTTTTTTTAAAAAAATTTCATGCCCAACTGCTCAAGTTTTTTTTTAAAATATTTTATATTTATTTTTAATTTTTATTGATAATAATGTTAAATTAAAATATTTGGGTTTAAAATATACGGCATAACCCATTTGCTTAGGGCATGGCCTGGAGGTATCTGATATATATTAAGAAATTGATTATAAAAATATAATTATGCCAAAAAAAATAAATTAACACATAGATGACCAGTTATGATAAAATTCTTAGCTAAATCATATTTTTAAAAAATTTATAGATGGAAATTCCTAACAACCTTCAAAAAAAAATCGCTTCAATCGTTTCAAGATTATTTCATATGTATATAAAACATTATTCTTTATTTCTTATTGAAGGATTTTGAGACACTTCGTTTAAATGATTTTGAGATCGGGTCGTAGTCATAATAATTTATTAATAAAAAATTTCAAGATTATATAAACATAAAAAAGTGTGTAACGATTTCCAAAATTATTTTACAGAAAAAATAAAGTATATGTAAACTATAAAAAATTCGTCCCTTTTATAGGGAAAATAAAAGGCGCAATTATAAATTAAAATTAAATTGGCGCAAAGTGAAAAAAAGAACGTTTTTGTGGAAACGAGTTGTGTTAGTTTTATCGTACATAATTGGGGATAAAACCTACCCCCCTATACTTCCCGAAACTCAAAATATACCTTGGGATGCAGGATGGTCTCCGACCTAACGGTCTAACTCATATTTTCGGATCACCTTACTGAGGACTCCTAAAGTAAGAAATCCAGTATAAAGTGAGAGAAAACACAAAAGCCATATGTTTTACTTTCACTGTGTTTAACTTAAAACAAGAGAGGGACCAAAAAGAGAAACCTTTTTTTAACTTCATTTTATTGTAAACACTTTTTTTAGCTTTCATTTTATTGTAAACAATATTTAACTTTAACATATACAAAAGAGGGGGATTAAAAAATACTTTTTCATCTTAACCATAATAAAAGAGGGGGATAAAAAAAACTTTTTTTATCATCTTTAACACTTATCAATATCAAAATCTTAATAAAAATATCACATGATTCAATTTTCAACAAAAACAATTAATAGTAATATAATATCTTCTCAATAATATATTGAAAAACGTCTATATCCATCAATTACAAATTGACAGATTAAATAAATATAATATAATAGCTTAAAATATTTAAGTGGCCATATTACCTCATTTGATTTTTTTTTATTTATATGAACTGGTATACCCTAACCAAAAAACTTGGAAAGAAAGAGGAAGTTGTCAGTGCACTAGGATTTTTTTAAAATAAGAATGTTCATTATTTTAAAATTATATAAATAAATGGGTTAGCAAATTTGATTTAAATTAACAATTTAAGTAAACTTCTATTTACTAAATTTGATCAAGAAATTTAGAATTAGGAAAGAGAAAAACTTAGATAATTTTAGAATCAAATAATTTTCATATGAAAAATAACTTATTATTAATGAATTAAGAAAATATTATTTTGTATTTCATCGTTTCAATGATATAATTAATTGTATAAATTTAATCTCAATGTAGTCAGAAATTATTTAGAAATAGCCAAAATTTTAGCCTCGTAATATTTATATTTTTGGAGATATTAGGGTTCAAAGTGGCAAAAATGACGTATTTTTATACCATTATCTGCTATCATTCAATTAAGTATATCTTAAAAACTGCATAATTTTAAATAACAAATTTAATATCAAAATTACGTACAAAGATTCTACTTTCAGATGAAAAATTTTTTTTAATTTTTTTTCCAATTTCCGGTCATTTTATTTAATATGCAAGGACTAAAAACAATTTTTTGGAAATAATACGACCTTCAATTTAAAAAAAATTTTTAGTAGACATTTAAACTCTTCCTTTATATTTATAAAAAAATTGGTCTGGGACGCGGCCATCTTCATTTTCAAAATCAATAAAAATGTTTAGAAAAGTGTATAAATATTTTCCCAAAAGGGGGCGTCTTTGTATAAAATTATATATTAATCAGTTTTTAATGGTTTTTCTTGAACTATTAGATATAATTTAAAGGATTATTGATCTTGTAAGTGAAAATAACAACAAATGGGACTTTCATTCAATTATAGATTTTGTCTATCGATAAAAGAAATTTAAATTATTACTTTATTTATAATTTATTATAAAATATTTTGGCTATATAACATATATTTAATGAATATTAATAAAATATATTCAACAAAGTTTATAGTTCTTGAATATATGAATCAGAATCTTGTACATTTCATATATGGCGCCCTAAATATTAAAAATAATTGATATAATATAAATTTAAAAATCTAATTAACTCACTTGTAAAAATTCTAATTTTTCGGTAGCGCATTTACTTTCTTGTGACGACAATGTTTAACTACGGCCTAGCAGTTAATGGTGAAACTAATGATAAGATATGATAGTTTGACAAGTAAAGAGTGTCGTCTATACTTGAAAATGTAAAGGAATTAAAAGGTCCGGATGGGTGTAAAAACTTTATATATATTTCTTCCTGCTTTTGATTTTTCACCAAAACAAAGGCTAACCAATTAGAATCATAAACACACGTTATGTATCCTGATATTTCTCCAAAAATTATACTTTCATCATTATATGATAAATATTCTATAGTGCTTTCTATTGAATTGGAATACATATTACTTTTAAATAAATGTAACTTGTTGGAATCAAGGTGTAAATTTTCCGTGTTCCAGGTATAAGTCTAGTTTTTGAAAATCTTTCCCTGAGTAATAGTTCTTCGTAATCATAATTTTTTTGGTCAT